AAAAAAAAAAATTAAAAAAAAAAAAAATCTGTTTCTAGACATTCAAGAGGGCCAGTTCCTCTAATCATGGTCTCACGAATAGGCTAGAAAGCCCTAGAAATCACCCAAACACCCAATCTGATTTGCCCAATTATTTTATTATTATGGTATAATTTAATTTACAGTTTTTTCTCTTTTTGTTTATCCATGCAAGATGTACCTATTCATTTAAAATTCTTCCCTTGGAACCAGGATTTGCTTTCATAGTTTGAAAAGGAAACACATTCTTAGTATACTCAGTACATCTTCTGTAGAATTTGATATGAGGTTATTCTACATATATGGTAAAGCTATATTATTTCAAACTTATGTCTTAAATACAAGAAGTGTTTCATTAGGGATTGACTAAATTCAGGACTGTATTTTTTTGTGTTTTAATATCAGATATACAAAGTATAAAATTCTTGAGTTAATTATTAGGCCAGTAGGTAGGTATTTTGATTCCAGAAATATTACTGGCATGTCTGCCCTGCTCTAAGTTGCTCTTAAGATTCCTGTTTTATTTCATCTGGCAGGTGTACCTTGCAGTCTATTTGATCTTCAAAAGAATTTAAATCTGTTGAGTGTCTTTATAGCAGAGTACTATAGTAGCCTTATCAAAGTAATTTACCTAAAGGTAACTAAGATAAAGAAGAAACACAATTTTTAAAGATCTATCAAAATAAGTTATTTGTGTTGTATGTTACCCTGACCTTTATCATTCTGTGTATATCAGTACCTACCAGATGCGCATATCTATGAATAATTTACCTACCCACCTCTAGTTTTCCCCTTTTTCCACTCCAGCCATGCTGGCTTTCTAGCTACTCCTGCATTACACTGCCTTTTGTCTTTCTCTTCTCTCTGCCTGGCACACTGCCCTCAGATATCTTCATGACCCACTTCCTCACCTCATCAGATAATACTCAATTGTCACTTTCCGGAAGGGGGAGGGGCGGGGAGTGGGGCCAGAGGTTTACCTAGCCATTTTTCTAAAATTATAGCTCCCAGAAAATTCCTATTCCCTTTTCTTTTTTTGTAACTTCTCCCCTCATCACATATAACTGTTAAACTTATAATATGTTTTACTCACTTTATTACATGACTCTTACATTGGTATATATATTTTTTTCATTTTACTTAAATTCAAGTTAGCTGACATATAGTATAATAATGGTTTCAGGAGTAGAATTTAGTGATACATCACTTACATGCAACACCCAGTGCTCATCCCAACAAGTGCCCTCCTTAATGCCTATCACCCATTTAGCACATCCCCCCACCCTCCTTCCCTCCAGCAACCCTCAGTTTGTTCTCTGTATTTAAGAGTCTCTTATGATTTGCCTCCCTCTCTTTTTATCTTATTTTTCCTTCCCTTCCCCTATGTTCATCTGTTTTTTTTTTTCTTAAATTCCACATGAGAGTGAAATCATATGATATTTGTCTTTCTCTAACATTTTAATTAGCATAATACATTCTGTTCCATCCACATGGTTGCAAATGGCAAGATTTCATTCTTTTTGATCACAGAGTAATATTCCATTGTCTATACATTGGTATATGTTTTATGAGGGAAGGATTTCTGTTTTTTTCACTGCTATATCCCCATTATCTAGAACATTTGAATTTTATTAGTACCTGAAAAAATATGCTATCATCTTAAACTTCTATGTAATTTTTAGGCGTCTCAGCACCAACTGCTTCAAATATCAGCTAAGGTTATTTTTAGATAATGGCAATTCTTTATGTTAAAGTAACTTTGAAATGTTATGCATGTATACCCAGTCTTTTTGTTCTGTGTTATCTTCCTGGCTTACTTAAAGATCACATTGTACTTCTCTGCTCTGTTTACCTTAAAATGCTTTTAGACAAGTAGAGTAAAATTTAACCCAACTCACCTTCAATAGACTGAGCAATGCCTCCCAGACTGTCATGTGCAGATGAGACTACGCGATTTTTATAAAATGCAGATTCTGATTTCATTGGTCAGAGTTAGGGCCTGAGATTCTGCATTTCCAACAGATTCTCAGCTGCTGCTGTATTAACTTACATGTTTGAGGAGCAAGAGATGGTTTAGCTCTGATTGTCTCTGAGCCCAGGAGGAGACTAGAGAGCCCAGAAAGTGACCTGTCACTCCTCTGAGCATAGGCACTGTGGCATTATTCTGCTTTGAGAGCCCAGCAGTTCCAATCCCTCACCGTTCCTCCAGTCTCCTGCAAAGCTTCCTGGAGCAAAGCTTCCTGGAATGCTTTGCCCACCTATTTTAAGAATCAGTATTTGTTTTGCTAAAAGAAGCCCTAAAAACTCATGTTTACCTTTCTTAAAGCCTAGCTGTATCATTTTCTCAGCTGCCATTTAGGTCTGGCTGACATTTTGAAATAATTACATGGCATTCATTCTGTAAACATACAATGTCATTAACTTGCAAATCAAATAGCTAAGAGGCAGTTGAAATAGGCATTTCTTGCTCTTAATTTTAAAAATCTGATTTTTAAACAGAATTTAGGGAACATAGGTAATGTTTATTTATTTAATTTTTTATTTGGGAAAAAGTAAAATTTGCAGAAAAGTTACAAGAATGAAGATGATACATAGAACACCCAATACTAATTACCAAAATTCAAACATTGTTAACATTTTTTTCCACCTTATACCTCTCTCTTTCAATACCCCCCCACATATAATATTTTTTTCTAAACCATTTGAGAGTGAGTTGCATATATTACAGCCCTTTAAACCTATATACTTCAATATATATTCCTCAGAATGAGCATGTTCTCTTACGTGATTACAGTACAGATTGCAACTTTAATAAATTTAACAAGGACACTATACTTCTATGTAATCTACCATCCATATTCCAGTTTTGTCAATTGACCCACATTTTTTATTTCTCCAGTATAGGCTAACATTTCAACCTGCATTTCAGTTTTTGCCCAAGAATTATGTAATGCATCTCTGGGAAGCCAGGAGGAAGAACTTTAGTAGCATTCCACAGGGCTTCTCTTTTGCCCACTTCTGTCCCATATTTTTATTGATAACTGAGTGGAAATGTTATATATGCATGCCTTAGAAATGTGTAGAAGACACAAAGCTGGAAGAGATAGTAATATAGTGATGGCTCTAAAGATGCAAAACTAATATCAGCATTTATTGATAGCCATCAAATCCATTAATTATTGATACTATTTAGAGAAGAAAGCAAATGCAGAGTCAGTGAGAAGAGGCCCGAGTAAAGAAATGTTTGCTACTTTAATAAAGTAATATTGCCACCACGTGGCTTTTTAGAATATTGCACCTCAAATCTTAACCTGTAGTTCTGTTTCTCATACTTAAGTAATGTATGGACAGGTTCATTTATTATATATATATTATATATATTAGTATATATACTAATTAGTATACTAGTATATATACTAATTAGTATATATACTAATATATACTGATATATATATACTAATATATATAATATATATATATTAGAGCAAGTGTGAGCAAGGGAGATGGGTAGAGGGAGGGAGAGAGAGAGAGAGAGAGAGAGAGAGAAAATCTTAGGCAGGTTCCATGCTTAGCACGGAGCCTGATGTGGAGTTTAATACTATCACCCTGGGATCCTAATCTGAGCCAAAATCAAGAGTCAGCTGCTCAATCAACTGAGCCACCTAGGTGGTCCTGGGTTCATTTAAAAGAAGAAAATTTTCATGACCATCCAATGTTAACTTGGATTATTTATATTGAAATATTTCTTAAAGATGGACTAATTTAAAATTTGAAATAAAATTAGGTTATCTTTAGCATCTAACTAATATGATTTATTAAGTATTTGGATATGTGCCTGCTTTTTGAGTCATACCTCTTTCGGCAACTAAATTTGAGTATATAGTACAGAACTCTTAAGCTCTGTGAGGAGAATTAATGTTGTAACTGCATGACAGGTGCAGAGAGAAAAGTGTCTGGTCAAGTGACTGGAGGTCCCTGGACTAAGTCTTTGATTCCAGATGCTATCGTTGTCTTTGTAATCCATTTCTTAGTTCTACAGAAAACAAGACACTGAAAATTCTTTAAGCCTTATGCCTAGATGCTCATGAGTTTGTAGGATGCTCATGGAATGAGCCTAGCAAAGTTTAGAGGAACTCTATAGACTTAAGGGTTTTTATAGAGAGAGATCTTTTTAGACTTGAGACTCAGTCGTTTATGTCTTTAAAGATAGAAATTCTTATCTGAAAGAAGATGCCTTGTTATACAACCAAAAACGTCCAGTATGTTCCTTACCACCTTTCCCATCTCGCTCCCCGGGGGAGATGCCAGCTTATAGGGAAGGGGACCCCCTCCTTTTTCAGCACACCTACAACAAATGCAGCGTGAGTAAAAAGAATTGAGCACTTTTGAAGATGTATTCCAGTATGTATGTTTTACTTCAGTCTGATTGGACCATGCAACATTTTTGTCAAGAACTTTACGTTTGTACCATCTTTATTTGGCACCCCAGAGGATATGAAATTTTACATCCTGGCTGTCACTTCAATCATTGATAATAGTAAATTCCAACAGGTCTGGGATGAATTATGACACAAGGCGTATATATTATGCACTTGTTAAAATCACAGAAATAGCTGTGATAGTTCCATTACAAAGAGGTTTGATTACATTTTCATACATTCCTTAGTTAATGAGTAATAGATTCTTGAGGGTGTTTGATTCTTTTTGAATCATTCTAAATGGATTGTTCTGTGTGTAAGGAACTTCTACTAGGTTCTTTCATGCCATTTCCTCCCTTTCCTGAATACTCTCAAACTTCAGTCTGTGTCTAAAAGCCTTGCTTGGATGCTTGACTGATTCTGTCAATCATTGTTTCTCCACTCCATGTCGTCACCATCATTCATGAACATTCATCAGGCAGCTGCTTGCTATGGAAACATCGAACACATGAGTAGAACCTATGGACTCTAAACAAACCTGGGCTCAGCTTTCTGGGGGCTCATGTTCTAGTTCAGATAAGAACTATCATCAGGAGGCAATCAAGATCATGAGTGTAAGATGCCAAATAGATTGAATAGACATTAAAATCACTGTTGGCTTACAAAGACATTAAAATCACTGTTGGTGAGGGCAGTTACGGTGAGGAGTCTTGAAAGACAAGCCCGGATGCACTGGAACTTGCTGAAAAGGTGGGATTTAAGTGAGCAGGTGATATAGGAAGGGGTTCCAGGGCATTCTGGGCAGAAGGAAGAGTTTAAGCAAGGCACAGAGTGTGTATAGTTCTGTAGACAGCAAGGTGGCAGTGGAGGCCAGAAATGGCCAGGCTGTAACTTGAAGAGATGGGAAAAGGCAAATTGTGGACCATTTTAATGTTAACCTAAGGGAACATAGCTTCAGTTTTAGCAAATGGTGTTATGAAGCTTTCAAAAATTCTGTTACTAATATAATTAAAGCAATTTAGCACTTTGGGGGACCAAGGGAAAGGTTGAACTGAATTTATTAGGAGTAGCTGTTTTTCCCCAAAACACAGAGTAATCATGGTATTGATTAACCTGAAGCTTTTGGTGATAACCTGTGCCTCTTCATACTCTTTTAATGGGGAAATCACTTTCAAACTGAGGATCTGTATTGTTGAGCAAAAAATGGACACTTTTTTTCTTTTTTCTCTTAATCCTCTTATCTCCAGGGTTTACCAAGATCCAACAGTGAATAATTGCTCAAGTAGGCATTCCGATAGGGGCAGACAGGTCATAGCATGAGCACCAGGGCCAGAGGACTCAGTACAAATGAGCTTGGCTATCAGAAACGGATGTTCACATCTCTGTGTGTGCCCCCTTCTGGGACCCTTCATCTGTAACATTTTGCACAGGTGACATCAGGTTTAGATAATGCACGGCCTCTCTACACAAATAGTCATTGAGACTTGTTTCCCTAGCCAGCCTCTTAGGGGCAAAGAACGAGAAAGGGACAGTCCCGTCTTCTTGGACTGAACTTCTAGATTAGAAAGGAGAGAAGAGTTATCTCATTGCATAGCGGTGCTATTTAAGAATTTCTAGACGTTTCCCCCCAGTGCCAGCAGATGAGTTATCTTTTTTCCTAGCTTTCAACTTGAATCTGGGCTCCACTTTCATGAACAAAACTGCCACCTCCCCTGGCAAAACTAGGGCAGGGGTCAAGGGGGTGGGGTAGTGTGCGATTGCTGGGGATAATAGGCTGCCCTGGCAGACTCCTTTGCCTTTCACTGAATTTCCAAGGATCCAGTGGTTAAGAACAGTGAGAGCTAGAATCAGAGGGGATATGAACTTGTCCTGATTGATAATAATGAACCACCTTAGAAATCTGCATACCTTTGTCCATGTATTATCCACTAAAGCTTGTTTACCCACTAAAGCTAATGTAGCTTCCTATAGGAGTGTTTGCTAGTGTCTTGCCACAGATCAGGTGGGGTCAGGTTTTCAAACTTAAGCTAGGTAGCCTGGTAAGGCTATCAGAGCATATCTAGTTTCTTGAGGGAAAGATGTAACCAAAATGAAAAACTCGTGTTAGCAGTAATGGTAAAGTGAATCAGTTTCCTTGTTACCAGCTAACTTAAATAGACACTGCCTATTTTATTAATATTACCCTGTCATTCAAATAATTTCTTGAGTATACATATTGTACATAAAAGCAGATTCCTCAGAGGAATCCTCTGAGAAGAGCATGGTCTACCACTTCAAGAAACTTACTATTTGAAAGACATAGCAAGCACAGATAAACATCTGAAGATGTTTGGTAAAATACTTTTTAAAAATATGTAGATCTATGTAACAACTGACTTCATAAGCCCCTATACAAACCAAGTGAATGATCCCAGCTTGGGATTTTTGCTTGAGTTGTAAGAGATGTAAAGGATGAAAATTGGGGATCAAAAGGGGGGCGGCTCTTTAAGCTGATTCTCCGAGAAGCAGCCACTGAGATGGAGTTCGGAGGTCAGTTTACTGGGCAGCAACATCTGTGAGAGTAGAAGGAAGGTGGCAGGACTGGGCAGGAGCACCAGGCTGCAAGCCTGACAGGGTCTATGTCCCCATGGAGAGCTCCTGAGCAGAGTTATGTGTTGAGTGGAAATCCCTCTTTCTCAAAGGGAGCCCGAGCAGTGCACCTCGCCTCTGCCACAGAGGCATCCTAGTTTACAGAGAATGACATGGACACAGATACAAAGCAAGTTGTGTATAGGAGACGGCAGAGAAATGAACTTGACCCCATGGAAACATGACTTTGCCATGGTGTTAGGTGCTCTGAAGGAGCCTGATGTTCGAATGGATCTCGAGGTTGCAAGCCATGCGGTGGCGGACCAGACTTCTATGTGAACCGCAAGACTGTGCACTGAGAAAGGCTACATCACTTTGGCTCCCTTCTCCGTTTTAAGATTTTGGTTTTTCGTTTTAATGGTTTGCTTTCATTTTCATTTCAAGGCTCTGGAGAAAAATCAGCAGTGGCTTGTGTATGATCAGCAGCGGGAGGTCTACGTAAAAGGACTTTTAGCCAAGATCTTCGAGTTGGAACAGAAATCAGAAACAGCTGCTCATTCACTCCCACAGCAGACAAAAAAGGCTGAATCAGAAGGTACTGGTGTAAAAATGTTCTTTTGGGGTAGGCCTGCCTGACATTTTCCAAAAGGAGAGATTCATCAAATTTAGATTTTTATAAATAAGTGTTAGAAAGTAAATTAAGCAAATCTTCTAACCTTGAAGTAAGAAATATTGTGTTACCAAGTCTGTTTTCTCATGTTTTTTGATAAAAGGGGGCACAGCCACAGAGTAATGGGTCTCTGGCAGTTCTGAAGGCACATTAAATTTTCTCCTTCATGCATGTCCTTCTCTGCCTTCAAAGATCTTCTCCAGCTTTATTTCCCCCAGGGTCAGCCTTGTTACTGATTAGCTTTTTACTCTGCTTCCTTGCATGTATTCATATCAATCCCAGGAGAAAGAATACCTCTTATAGATGATTTTTCAGTCTTGTGAGTCTCCCACAGAATTGAAATGAAGGCTCCTAAGGATGATTCAATCTTTTTGTCAAGTTCTTCGCAGCTTCTCTGACATTGAGTTTCACAAGAACTCTAAGAGGTGGGGCAGGAGGGGACATTATTCTCATTTTACAGATGGGAAGATAGGTTCAGCAGCTCCAGGTGACGAGCTAAGAAGAGAAAAGAAACCCCCTTCCAAAGCACTTGTCAAAAGACGGATAGCACGGGGTGCCTGGCTGGCTCAGTCAGTGGAGTGTGCGACTCTTGATCCCAGAGTTGTGAGTTCAAGCCCCGCATTAGGTGTAGAGATTACTTAAAAATAAAATCCTAAAAAAAAAAAAAAAAAAAAAAAAAAAAAAGACTGATGGCCCTAATGGGACTGAAGCCTTGAATTATATAAACAGAAGGCTAAAGAAAGGGAGACAAGACTCCTAATCTTGGAGCTTCACATTTGAATATTTAAAATGAAGCTAATGCTGAAAAAGAAAATATAAAAGGAATTGGGCACAAAGCTACTTAACTGTAATTCCTTTATAAGTTTATTACACATAAAAGTAAGATTTTAGTTGTGGGCCAAGTCTAATTTCTTCTTTGGCAATATGTTCTCTATGTGTATATGTGTTTTATCAGAGTAATGTAAGCTCTTGTTAAAGTAATTTAATAGTAGTATAAGAGGGCTTGCCCTACTCTTCATAGTCCATCCCAGTTGCTATTTCCTCCTGCCATTAGGGCAGCCGCTTTTAACATTTCTGGTTTTGATTTTGGTGAGTATACCTATAAATAATGAGCTTATATTTCTATTTGTTGGTTTATCTTTTTTAGACATTGCTGATTTTCCCTTCCCATAGAATAGCTATATTACTGTTTTCAGTTCTTCTGTTTATTAGTTTAACTTCAAATAATGTTCCTGAACTTCTGTTTCTTGTTCTATCGGATGTCTACCCTATCTCTTGACTCTTTGTTTCATAAGAACTTATTTACAGAAATGTGTTTAGTTTTAACTTCTCAGGATTATTATGTTTTATAAAGTGAGTTGTGACCCAATGTGTTTGTCATAGGTTATCTTCAAGAAGAAAAGCAAAAATATTACAACCATCTCTTGGCAAATGCAAAAAAAGATCTTGAGGTTGAACGACAGACCATAACTCAGTTGAGCTTTGAACTTAGTGAATTTCGAAGAAAATATGAAGAAACCCAGAAAGAAGTCCAAGATTTAAATCAACTGCTGTGTTCACAAAGAAAGGCAGATGTACAACATCTGGAAGACGATAGGCATAAGACAGAGAAAATACAAAGGCTCAAGGAAGAGAATGATATTGCGAGGGAAAAGCTTGAAGAAGAGAAGAAGAGATCTGAGGAGCTCTTATCTCAGGTGAGCCTAACTAGTAAGACTTTCCGTGATTCAGAATTCAGAATTGCCATTGTACTTACCAAGCATCAGGAACTATGTTAACCACTAGGGAACCAACAAGGAACAAATGCCCTGCCCTAGGATTCTTATTTAGAATGGAAACAGACCATAAACCAGTTCCTAAATAACCAAGTAAACTCAGGAAAATAAAGCAGGGCAATATGACACAAGAACTGGGGGCCGGGGGAGGCTTTACTGCAGAGACGGTATTTGCACGAAGGTCTTTTGGGAAGAAGGAGCCTGTGAAGAGAGTGACTGGGAATTCCCTCCTGTGGAGGAGCTCATGTACAGAGGCCCTCGGGGAAGAGGAGGCAGGTATGTGTGAGGAGCCGAAAGGTGTGAAGCAAAGAGGGGAATCGGTGCTGGTTCCCAGGCAGGCACCTTGATCTGGATGATACCGTGCTCAAGTTAATTGCTTCACCTGATACCGTCCACCTTCTCATTGCGCTCATGACCTCCTGCCAGGATATCTGTGCCAGTAACATTGGAGTTACTAAGTTAGGATTGTTAGAATTGAATACTACTTCAACAGAAACTCATTAATTTAAATCTTGCTTGGCAGCATGGAATAATGAAAAAAACATTATTTGGGGTCCACACCTGGTCTCTAGTTCAGGATGTATGGCCTTACTCGTAGGGCTTTTGTGAAGGTCAACTGAGAGAATGTGAAAGTGCTTTGTAAAATAAAGGGCTGGGGTCAATGTTCGTTATTGCTGCCATTAGAATAGTAATTTTTTTTAATCATCCAGAAGTTGAGAGGGAGAACAAAGCAGTCTGTAACATTTGCCTTCTTAGTCTTTGCCACCCTGGTTTGTGCCTGCAGGTGTGAGCAGTGATCTTTACAAAAGATTAACCAGAAATGGTGGAGAGGGAGCGCCTGAGTGGCTCAGTCGGTTAAGCATCCAACTTTGGCTCAGGTCATGATCTCACGGTTTGTGGGTTCAAGCCCCACATCTGGCTGTGTGCTGACAGCTCAGAGCCTGGAGCCTGGTTCGGATTCTGTGTCTCCCTCTCTCTCTGCCTCTTCCCCAGCTCGCGCTCTGTCTCTCTCAACAATAAATAAACACTAAAAAATTTTTTTAAAAAGAAATGGTGGGGAATTTTGTTCCAACTCTGCAGGCAAGGAGGCAGGGCACCTCCAGCTTTGTTAACCTATCAGAAATATTAGCAGATGTCAGAACCTCCAGGAAAGTGGTGTGTGCACTGCAGAGTTCAGTGCTGTTTATGGACTCACGGTCTCTGCCTCAGGGAGCCCTCAGCCAGGGTGGTGCCGCTCAGCCCCTTGTACAGATAGCCATCAACCAACCAGCTGCCGGGACTCACCCCAACTAGCAGGTGTCGTCCGGAATAGAGATGGATTTGGGAGCCTCCCCTGCATCCCAAGTCAAGCAGTAGAAGAGTGGATATGACAGTGTTGGCTCTGTTTCCATCCTACAGGTCCAGTTTCTTTACACATCTCTGTTAAAGCATCAGGAAGAACAAACAAGGGTAGCTCTGTTGGAACAACAGGTACCGACTGGGGCTGCTTCTAAATTCAGCTTAACTTGTTAGAAAATGGGATTGTTCCTCATGTTTACACTAGTCTATGAAGAGCCATTTGAAAGTCATGAAAAATGTTTTTAATAAACTTTAACAACCACAGCAAAAAATATAAGTGGCCATCTGTGCTTGCCATTTATTCCTATCTTTAGGCTAAACCAGATCCTGAGGGGGGATGGCGGTTGTTTTGACAGGGTAATGTTTGCCTCGGTAAATCTTACTGTTCCCCGCATGGCTTCCGTAGTCCCTACTCCAAGTGAGCAGGATCTCCTCAAGAGGGCCATCTTATAACTTCAAGTAGAACTCAGAGAGATACCACTTGTTCTCAGGATATAGACCAGAGATTTTTAGTGTATTCCAAACCAGGGAACAGCTATCTCTTTCCCTTCTCCCCCTGCCCCAGAACAGAAGGGGGTTCAGGGAGGACACACCCCAACCAGCAACTTCTTAAGTTGCTCCTCACTCACCTCAAGCCCTGGCTTTGCTCCTTGGATAAACCAACCCCCCAACCAGAAGCTTTTCTATTTATCAACATCTCACTGTACTCAGATGAATTCTTGCTGTGAAGACACAGCAAATGTTTGCCTCTTGTGCTAAAAAAAAAAAATGCAAGCATCCAGTCAAGAGAACTCGACAGTATATACTAACCATAATTGTCTCGGCCTGGGTATTTGTTCCAGATGCACGCATGTACTTTAGACTTCGAAAATGAAAAACTTGACCGTCAAAATATGCAGCACCAACTGCACATAATTCTTAAAGAACTGCGAAAAGCAAGAAATCAAATAACACAGTTGGAATCCTTGGTGAGTCTGGAATGGTTAAACTAAAACTTATTTTCTTCTTTCTCTTGCTGCCATTTTCCCATTTATATATCAAACCAGTGCCCAGACTGAGAGGATACAGCTTCAAGCATGGCTATTTCTCAAATCAACAGGCAGAACCCTGCTTCGTTGGAAGCACCTGCCCTTTGAGCATCAGCCCAGAGCACTAGAAGGAGGGGCCCTGTGTGCCTCTGTGTAACAATGACATTACTGGTGCCCGAGATCACCTCTCCCTAATGTGACTCTAGACTCACTAAACGGGCTGTGCCTGGGGCAAGGTGGGGTAAGGGAGGGCAGTTGTAAATCCTGAACTGAAACCATGTTTTTCTATTTAGAAAGAAAGAAATGTCGTTTTTAGTGACAATGGATGGTTCTGTTAATACACTGTTGCAGGCATGTTGAGTTAAGCACATTTTGTGGGTTACCTTGAACACAATCTTTTAAAACATAAACCTTTTAAATAAGATTGTTTCTATGAGGAAGTGATTTTTGACTTACTATTTTCATCTTACTAAGAAGCTTTTGAACCAAACCTGTTGGTAACTGTGTGCGTGTTATGTCCCATTAGCACATATTTTATTTATTTTTAATTCATTTTGAGATAGAGACGAAGAGAGAGCACGTGCGTGCATGGGTGGGGGAGGGGCAGGGAGAGAGAGGGAGAGAGAGAATCCCAAGCAGGCTCAGCACTGTCAGTGTGGGACCTGCTATGGGGCTGGAACTCACAAACCTTGAGATCATGATCTGAGCCGAAGTTGGACTGAGCCACCCACGCACCCTGGCACATATTTTATTCATGCCTAGTACTGCAGAGTATTTGCAGATGGTAAAATGTAACAAATAGAATTCCTCAGTTTTTGAAAGAGGAAAAAGCAATTGTTAAAAAAATCATTTGTAGCTTCTTTATGAGTAAAAGACAAAATATATCTTGACTCTGTTCTTTAGTAGTACGTCATTCATTTTGACCACATATAATATTTGAAATTGAAGTTTATAATTCATTTCTGTTAATGACTATTTTTCAAAGTATAGGAAGCCAGAGGTTATAAAAAAGATTCCATAATTTTCCTGTACTTTTCTTTGTTTTCCTGCTGTCCATCATCTTTAGAATATGCTGTAAAATATTCATTTTAAAGCTGTATTGACTATTCTGACGTCCTCAGGGGGGAAAAAGCCATAAAGAAGGAAAGTCACAAAGATATTATACAATATTGTTATGATTTCTATGTGTAACCTATTTGATCTGCTAACATTCTTTGCTACTCTTAATTCTATGTAGTTTCTTTTTTTTTTACTTGCTGAACTTGACCTTTTTTTACAAAACTATCAAATTTTGTCAGCCTTGTATATAGGTCTACCTTTTTATCTGGCTCTAAGCATTTTTAAAACAATTTTTTTAACATATATTTATTTTTGAGAGAAAGAGACAGAGCATGAGCAGGAGAGGG